GAAGAAGAAGAAGAAGAAGAAGAAGAAGAAGAAGAAGAAGAAGAAGAAGAAGAAGAAGAAGAAGAAGAAGAAGAAGAAGAAATAATAATAGTAGTAATAGTAATAGTAGTACTGGTAGTAATGGCCACTGCATAAACTTTAAACTACAGGCGAACTCATCTGATAAGGGGAAAAACAAGTCTATTATAATTATTTGGGAAAAAGGAAATTTACTGTGGAAGGCAGATATTTGGGATTTCTATCTGGAAGACATAGAATCTGCCTCTATGCTACCTCAGTCATAGATTCACCCACTGACTTTGAACAATTTAGTTCATCATTTCTAATCTGAAATGGGATGTCATTGCTATATTCCTGTTCTACACATCAATAAAGTCTATACATGTTTAAGGGATTGAATCTTTGTGAATTCCTATATGAACAGCATCTCATGAAAAAAATGGTGTTTATCAATTCATATTTTGTGAGAAAGTAAATTTAAAATATATGTTTAAGTATTTATATACAATTTTATGCCTTTTTTACATTGTGGATTACTATGGATGCAAAGGAGATGGAATAGAGTTATGAATTCCACTGCTTTTGCACATTACAAAAGTGACATGGACCAGAAAAAGACAGAGCTGTCCATCTGCATGTAAGGTGTTTTGAGGGCAAAGGAGAACTGTTTGGAGGAAGCAAAGCTGGGTCACTGCGTGGATCCTGAAGCAACCTCATCTCATCTCATAAGGCTGTCCTCTATACAAGTAGCATTCTAGCTTCCTAAGAGATTTGGCCTTGGAAATAATATGGCTGTACTTGTCAGTCCTTTCAACATGCAGCTGTAAATATCTAGAGAATATTTATTGCTTTATTTGCACTGGCAACCAAGAAGTCACTTAAATAGTGGGGTGGAGTAGAGAATATTATCATTATCTTTGAGACTATAGCCAGTCTTAACCAGAATAAACTGATTTCAGTCAAGATGATAGAAATATTGAGTTTGCTTCTGATAGTGGTGCAAACTGAAATGTAGATTATGTTAATTTATAACTTAATGCAACTTGTTATTTTTTTTTCATGGCAGCATCATGCATTCAGTGTTTGGTGGATGTGGTCCCAGTGAAGAATGAGGAAGGAATTGTCATCATGTTTATTTTGAACTTTGAGGACCTGGCAGCTCTCATTGCCAAAAGTGCCCGACAAAGCCTACACCAGCGTCTCTCCCAGGGATGGCGTACAGGTGAGAGGCCCATAAGTGGCCAGAATCCTTTACCCTTAAGGCAGACACATGTGGGGCTTGGGGACCAGTGGGAAGCTGAAACTTATGTCAATGGAAATTTTAGATTTTCTCTGGAACTTGGAAGGCATGCGGTTTATAGTATGGGAAAGAGTTCTCTTTTTACATGAGTCCACTGCTTATTAAGAAAACTGTAACTAAATCAATAATTGTGGAAGGAAGTTTTGTCAGGAAATGTTGTTCAAAATTCCATAACTACAGGCAATAAGAAAGAAGGACACGTCCATATGGAGGTATCTGGTATGGCAATCCTTAAAGAAAAAGAAGACAATCCTTCATAAAGGAAAAAAACAATCCTTCATACAGAGAAAGAAAAAGAAAATGAGACTATCATGTCATGGACAAGGATCTTAATATGAACATAAAAACCTTTTAAATTGGCCATGCCTGTCTTCTACAGATGTGCAGCACTTTGGATCTGAAGTAGAGAAGGTGCTTCAGGGAGGGTATGGGCACGCATACCATCCCTACCAACATCGTCTTAAAGAAACTGCATCTTTTCTGGGGTTCACATGGTAGCTGCACAGTCCCAGGAAATTATATATTTGAGGTACGGACAAACTGCTCATGACTCCTCTTAAGCACCTTCCCTGCTTCAGATCTGAAATGTTGCACTTCCCTGTTTTTTTGCCAACCGTACCAAGGTATTTCTACTCAGACATCCATTACTAATTTCTTGTATTCAGAACTGGAGATATTGCTAAACTAATACTACTAAGCTTGAACATATATCTTAAAGAAATATACAATATTTACCTCAAGTAAGCATGGAGTATGCTTTTCTCATGTGCTAGGAATACCTGGCAAAATGGGTCTTTGCAGCGGATAGAAGATTCTGAGAACAATTAAAGCTGTAAGCGTGGCATGTCTTTTTGATTCCACAGACTCTATGGAGCTGGAGTTGGAAATTCAAGTATTTGAAGATGGAAAGGGATTGTAGCTCTATGAGAGAACTGGAATTATATAACAGAATTATTTACAGCATCTCAGATGCCAGCTTTTCAAGCATAGATATGTCTCTCACTTCTGTTATAAAGTTACAAATGGTCTTAGCTCAACATAAATTCACAAGATGTTTATTTACTTCAACCTGTGAATGTAAAGTTGGTTTAAGATACGGTTAACAGACATCTGGCAAAAGGACAGTAATAAGAGTATATACTAAATTCAACAGGAGTTTATCTATTTGTTTAATCAGTGATGACATCAGGTCGCCCTGGAAGTGATGCCATCAGGTTGTGCCGGATATGACGTGCGCAACCCTAACCCTCCCCCAGACGTGACGTGCATAACCCTTCTCCCCATGTGAAGCAGCACTCACAAGGTCATAACCCTAACTGGACATGACATGCTGAACCTAACCCTATCATCAAGAAAGGTGTGATGGCCAACCCTAGGG